GTGTAATGTCCAGATTATCGAGAAAGTCTGTCGAAGATGTTAGATTTCTAATATTTTATTTTTATTCGAAGTTAATTTTTGTTATTTTAAGGACGACAGAGAGAGAGAGAGAGAGAGAGAGAGAGAGAGAAAGAGAGAGGAAGAGGAGGTATGGCAGGGGAGAGTTGTTAGAAATATTTGAATAGTCGAATAAAATAATTTCATATTAAATATAGGGGAAATATATAAAAGCAGTAGTAATCACAATAAAATGTTGGTGATTGATGTGCTCGTGATTTTTTTTACATAGGTCGACAAATAATTTGTAATTTAACGGGAAAGCTAGTAGCATAAAAAACGGTTTTTATGCACGAAAAAACGCTCTCGCATGCACGTATGCACGTATACCCGCACGAACACAACGATCAAATTACCTAGAACCGTCAGATGCGGCTGTTCAACGGATTATATTGCACCATATTCGTTTCCACGTATCATAACATCGCCTTTTGCGTATCGGACTCTGATTTCATTCTCAACGGGATACTAGAGGCAATGCGTGCATTATCTCAAGCGCGTTTGCTTGTGTCATTGACGTAATTTCGTGCATCAGGATATTGGAGAGTTGAAGAGTTCATTCGCGTTCGAGAGTTCACGCGAAAGATTATTTTATAACAATATCAATTTTGTAATATGTTATTTCTTGTTCACACATATAAGAAAGAAAGTTAACATAAATTAACATGTTTATGATTTTATATATATATATATATATGTATCATGTAATAGAGGATAATGTATAAATATTGAAAATGAATAACATTACGAGAAGATGTTCGCACAAGACACAAATTTATTTTCATCGTGTTAGCAAATAAAAACAAATGCCATGTCCTTTAATCGAATCGAAGAGAGAAACTCGATTAATACGGTTTTAGAATAGAAAGAGGACACTGTATTAAGTCGTAGCGAGATTGCATCAGCTACCATCAAGTTCACGCATGACGCAAACTCAAGTCTCGTTAGACTGCTGCCCACAAGATTTACCTCTTCTCAACGACACCCGGTTATGAATATCCCAATTAATTGTTGACCTCGACGAAACAAATTTCATTCTGGTATATATCAATATGTATAAGTATATATTAATCCCAATGATATTTAATGACAAATTCCACATATCTCTATATATTCCTTCTTTTTCTATTACTTAATCTTAAAGATAAAATGTGAATAACAATGTGCCATGAAGAATTAGAACGATTGAACAATAGAAATGTTGATCAATAACAACCAAAGTTTGACCATTTTTCTTCGGAAATAAAATATAGTAAATAAATGAAAAGAAAAAGAATATCGTGAGAAACTAGAGAATGATGATGATGTTTTTACTCGATTAAGAGAGAGCAAAAAAGGATGTGAAACGTTGGACAAACAAAATATTTTTCTGGTTAATATTTAGATGCTTGTCATCATCGTTATCGTCATCATTGTGGAACGCGATAGGTCAACAAGGTGTCGGCCGATCGGAGACCGCCATGTTATCGGCAGATAAACGAATGAGCGAGTGGATGCGCGAAGGCACGATGGGGGCCCGCCCGGGTCTCGACCAATTGGAGCGAACCATCGACGCGACGCTTCTCTCTTTCAAGACAGAACGAACTATCCTTTAACGTGACGACTATCTTTTCACCGTATCATGAGCTTATCATCGATTTCACGTATTAATGAAGTTAACAAGATGCACAACGTATTATAAACTTGTTTTTCTAGCCGATCAGTGTTGTATTAGCGTGGGCGTATTTCATTTACATACACGTGATTATAATTATTAAATAAGCTAATTTTCATCTTCTATTTTTAATTAATAGAATTAAATGATTTTTTTTCCCCTAGATGATCAATAATATTTCATTGAGAATTTGACATTTTTCCTTTTGGTAGACATTAACCAATATAATAAATAATCGTGATATCATCGGGATCGCGTTAATGCGTATTTTATTCCGGTAAGTAAGTGTAGGACTAAGTAAGCGTAGTAATAAGAGGTCAGGATTGTCGGTATATCAATGTCAGTGGTCTAATAATCTCTCGTAACATGTATCGTATTCGATCTGACAGGTGTTCGAACTTTGTTTCGCTCAGTTAGAGAATATGCTTTATATTGTTCCTATAGACAACCACAGTGGAACTTTGGTTTGCCGGTATAATTCATTCCAGAAATGTGCTTGCAATACAAAACATTCATATATTCAAGTGAATTTCATTATAATATTCATCCGCAATTATTTATTCACTTAAAAATGCTATAAAATACAAAATATAAAATACAAAATGAAACAAGTTAATTCGCATTTGACTTACTATTACGAATACGCTTGGCAAACGACAAGATCGATCGCTTGTTTATCGAATCAACATTTTTTGCTTGTCTTGCGGAACACTCGTAAATCAGGTTCTATTGTATACTGAATCTATTCTAAATAATATTGACAAAATCATATTTACATATGCGTCTTAA